GTTTCTGTTTCGGTTTCTGTTTGGGTTTTTGTGCCTTTGCCTGTTTTGGTTGAAGGTAGATTTCACACCAATTTTTCTTGTTACTACCGCGCTTCCTCTCCATTGCCTTTTGTGTCCACTCGATTCTTTTGGGCCCTATACCGATTACTACTACCAACCTCGAACCCGATCCAGATCCCGAACACACTGCCCGTCCCCATCGATTATGGGTTTTATAGACCGCCGGCCATATGTATTTAATCCGATTTTTATTGTTTCTACACTTTTGTGTGTCCGCCCGTCTGTGTTTACCAAATGCATCAATGGGAATTTCGAGCTGGCAACTGGGAAGGTGCATTTTCTTTGGAATTCCATTGGCAGCGGCTGCGGCAGCCGCAACAAGGCCATTTTATGGCCACTCATTATAATAAAGCGCGCGGTTAGTGGTCGCCTTTGGTCTGGAATTTTTAATTTGAATTTTACAAGCACAGCAGCGGCATCAGCAGCATTAGTGGCGGCGCTTGGGGTGTGAAGGCCCCCAGAGAAAGTTCTACAAAATGCATCCCGATTTTTCCAAATACACCTGGGTGGGCCCCTTTTTTCGGCCCTGCAATGCGATAATGCGATACCCATTAATGATGATTAATGTGGCCTGCGCTTCGATTATTGTTTGGGTGGGTTGCAGCATGTTCGGTAATTGCCAACAGGTTGCCAAAAAGGTTGGGAAAACAACCCACGAACTGCTACCTGGCCCATCCCCCTTTTTTTCTGTATTTTTTTTTTTTTTGCCAGTAGGGGATTCCTAAGCCGCTTTGGCTCGAGTTCGGCTTGGGATGATGCTGGTGCTGAGATGCTGAGATGCTGATCCCACGGCTAATCTTGTAGGAAAAACAAGATCACAATTTTTGTGCAAACCGAAACAAAAACACGTCGGCCGCTTGTTATTGATATGCCTGGTGGTAGATCGCAGATTGCTGATCTCCGATCTCTGTGTTCCTCGATCGCATTATGTTTCTGGCTTGTTGGCGAGCCGCAAAAGGCAGTCTTAGTCCTTTCAGTCCGTTCGGGCCCATTGTTTCACATTGGGCTGCAACGGGCCAGACCCGGATCTGTGAAAACCTTTTTGACTTGTTGGGCTTGGCAATTGGATGCTTAACGCCAAATTAGATTAGCAAACTAATGCCATTACCTGGGCAAGCAAGCTATCTGGAAATCAGAAATAGCATTTAAATTTTGGGATTGTTTAGTTTCTGTAAAATGCACTTTTTAATACAAGATTACAAAATCTATAAATATACATGTGAAATTGTATGTAATAACTTCAGTGGAAGCAACCCAATTTTGAACTAAACTTTATTTTGATGGTACTTAGTTTAGTTTACTTTAAGGGAAATTAGACTTAAAGTAAAATAAACTATTTTTGTGGCTACGTTTCAAAGAAGAACCACAAAATCTGGAAACTGGCAAAGTTTTTTTGTTGTAAAAATCTAGAACCTATAATCAAATCTTTTTTAAAGCATTATTAAACCCTTGAAACATATATATTTTTGAATATTTTAATTGTTAATTCCTTTTGAAGAAAATCGTTCTAACTACATTCTTTCCTTGCCTTCTTGCAGATTCCTCGATCAGCTCGCACGTGCACGGCTGCTTCACTCCGGAGAGCACGGCGATGCTGGAGAGCGGAGTCCAGAAGCCGCTCGGCAAGCTCACCATCGGAGACCGAGTCCTGAGCATGGCCGCCAACGGACAGGCCGTCTTCAGCGAGGTGATCCTCTTCATGGACCGCAACCTGGAGCAGATGCAGAACTTCGTGCAGCTGCACACGGACGGTGGGGCCGTGCTGACGGTGACGCCGGCTCATTTGGTGAGCGTTTGGCAGCCGGAGCAAAAGGAGCTGGCCTTCGTGTTTGCGGATCGCGTGGTGGAGCAGAACCAGGTGCTCGTCCGGGATGCGGAGACGGGCGAGCTGAGACCCCAGCGCGTCGTCCGGGTGGGCAGTGTGCGCAGCAAGGGCGTGGTGGCGCCCCTTACCCGCGAGGGCACCATTGTGGTCAACTCGGTGGCCGCCAGTTGCTATGCGGTGATCAACAGCCAGTCGCTGGCCCACTGGGGTCTGGCCCCCATGCGACTTCTGTCCACGCTGGAGGCGTGGCTGCCCGCCAAGGAGCAGCTGCACAGTTCGCCGAAGGTGGTGACCCAAACGGAGCGCCAGAATGGCATCCACTGGTATGCCAATGCCCTCTACAAGGTCAAGGACTACGTGCTGCCGCAGAGCTGGCGCCACGATTGAGCATCCCCTGGCCGCGATCCACGATCCTGTATTGTATTATATCCTGTAGTTATGTATATGCCTAATGATTGATGTATTTCAATGTTGAATATCGTTAATAATCGAGCGTACTATTTATTTACCACAAACAACACAACAAACACCCACAAAACACCCCACCCAAGCGATAAAGCAAAGAGCTATTGGAAAAGAAATCAAAAACGATAACAATAACGAAAACAGAAACAAAAACAAAAACAAAAACAAAAACAAAAAAACACTGTTAAATGTCCCCGACTTGTTGTTTTTGCAAACATTTTAGCTATAAGTAGGCAATCCTCGGCGCAGATCCTTAAATGAAAAGAAACGTACATACACCTTTTTTTCAATCGGCAAACTCCCGAAGAACACAGACGACTGTTACTGTATATTATAATGGAATTGAATTGCATAATTTATTGAGGTGCGGCAGTGAGTTCAAGCCATTGGATTTAAATATATCGCACTTTGTATATAGAAGAAGCATTATAGTGACTGAATACTTTATTGTAATTGTGTATATAATACTTATTAGTTAACTGCGTATTTATACTTAATATTTAATGAAATATAATGAAATTGTTTGATAAATGCAAGTGTGTTTTAATTGGTGTTCATTAATATTACTGGGAAATTAAAAGACCTACGATGTTCAACAAAGGTTAACGTTTTTAAAAATTTTGAATTTTAGCCGCCATGTTTTACAAACATACGGTCACATTGGAGAAGTAGCTGCCAACCTGTGGAATTTCAGCTGATTATTGAAAAACTATCGACTATCGATGCTTAATGGAAATATCGATAATATTAACTTTGTTTGCCCCATCTCTGCTTGATATTTGCTTCTTTTCAAATTAATTTTTTTTGTTTAATTTTTTTTGGTTCAGTCCAGAAAAGCTCATACAGAAACAGTTTACGTCCCGAACTTCCAATAAAACCCCTGCGTATTCTACTGCCATCATACGATTATCCTGGATACGAAAAATGAATGTTTGCCGATTGTGTCTGGCAAAAGAAGCAGACTTTGCTGTTTTCGGTAATGGCACGGCTGCCCTGAGGATAATGGCCTGCACATCGCTGGAGATCGAGCCTGGTGACGGTCTGCCACAGCACATATGCCCTGCCTGTCGGCTGCGCCTGGAGGAGATGCACTGCTTCCGGCGACGATGCCATGCGGCCGATCGTCGTCTGAGGCGCCACAAGGCGCTGCAGCGGCAGGGGATCAAATCCAAACTGGAGGAGTTGGGCGAGGAGCACGCTGCCCTGCAGGACGTGGCAGGATGCACAGCGACAGCCTGCTCGGAGAGCAATGCCCAGTGGCGCCTGCAGGCTGCCCAGCTCATTCGCACCGAGATCGATGCCTACAAAAAGGAGCTCCTCAGCACCAGCAAACAGGCTGTGCGGGCGGATATCGAACTGGAGCTCCGCACGGAACTGGAGGAGGTGATCCTGGCCGAGGCCAAGAAGCAATTGCGCCTGAGCGTCCTGGACGACGTCTTCTACGAACTGGAGCGCTACTTTGTACGCAAGCGCAACGAGGCGGCCTTTGGGCAGGCCAATGATACCGAGAGCGTAGCCTCCGACTCTGAGATTCGAATGGCCTCGAGCAGTCAGCTGGCTGAAGACCAATCCGATGGATTCTACGAAGCCGAGGCTGGCGAGGATCTAGTGGAATCCAACGATATAAGCGTGGTGGAGCTACTGGGTAAGTTGTATCTTTCGTTGTGCCAGGCCAGTTACCTACTCGACATTGTATTTATCATACAATACATACTTATTAACAGACGATGAACCAGAGACCAGCAGTCAGGCAGCACCAGCGCCTCTGGATGCCGTGCCTATGGTCGAGATTAACATGAACGACTCCCAGCTGAGTCATCTTCGCGAGGAGTTCAACAAAGACGCCTTTCTCGATACTTCAATGTCTCCCAAGAAGACTGTTAAAACCCCGTCCCCTAGGCGCAAGAAAGTCCGATTTGAAATCCCCAAGAAGACGCCCGAGAAAATCTGCGGGAAGCACAGATCCTGGACGAAAAGATACTCTCAGGTGCCCGCCGACTCCGTCAGTTGTGTGCGCTGCCGTCTCAGGGGAGCGGATAAGCTTAATAACTCAGTGTCCTAACCAGCAATGCTGTTTTAAAACATGTATTTAACTCTATTTCGCATATTTAATTGTTTCAAAACTGCCGTTTTTACGTAGATCTACTAAGAATTTTTCTGTGCACGTATGTTACAAAGATACTTAAACCAAGCAATTCGTTTAAACTTTTTTGCTGAAAACAAAATGATTTTATACTCTCCTTGCACTCGCAATGTCTCCATACAGAATAAATATGTGTTCCACTATTTGGAAAACTTATATATTAACTTAAAAACTAATTAAATATTTGTATCTTTAAATAAAAAAAATGGAATATCATTTGGTTAGAACTTTCATTTAGGTAACTTTTTAAAAATGTAATTTTAAATGAAATGAATAAACTTTATTACTCTATATCTACGTTGATAAAAGTTTCAGAAAAGTCTACTGCACAAAAAAAAGTGTAATCTAAACGATATTAAACTTAATTTGTGAAATTAAATTGTTGGGCCTTTAAAAAACCAACAATTTTAAGATTTTATTTCAAACATCTACTTAAAAAAAAGGTGTGGCTGTGTTGACTTGCTTTTGACCATAAAGTACATAGGTATTTTTAGCCGCCCTGCTTGCGGTCACACTAATGCGATGTCCAGAGACGCCACCGAGTAAATAAGTTGGAATACCCAAAAACAGCCGATTCCATGGACGCGCCGGCGTCGTATCCCGATTTGGCGACCCTCTGCCGCCTGTGCCTCAAGGAGCACCAGGATGCGTACGCGATCTTCGAGGAGGACGACTCGCAGCTCTCGATTCCCGTGCGTCTGATGGCCTGCGTCGCTCTGGACGCCAAGGCGGCGGACAGCCTGCCCAAGCGGATCTGCCAGGAGTGCCGCTACCAGCTGGAGAAGTCCTTCCTCTTCCGGCAGCGCTGCCAGGCATCGGAAAAGAAGCTGCGCAAGCACATCCGCCTCCTGGGCCTGGGCAAGCGGAGTCGCGTCTTCTCCAAGGATCCCGATGACTACGACGAGGACGAGCTGGAGTTCGAGGACTCCATTGCGTTCATCGAACGGCAGGACAAGGTGCGGAAGCTGCAGGACGATAAGTGGCGCGAGGAGTTCAAGGAGGAGCAGGCGGCGGAGTTCAACAAGCGGCTGGTCAAGTCCCGCCTGGAACTGCGGGCCAAACTGACCACCGAGATACGCAAGGGGCTGGCGGAGGAGGTGCGCAGCGAGGTGCGCGACGAGCTGGCCGAGGAGGTGCGCAGCCAGGTGCGGGAGGAGCTGCGCCACGAGGTCAGCGAGGACATGCGCAAGGAGCAGCTGGCCATGCTCTTGGGCGAACTGGAGGTGTATCTGGCCGAGAAGAAGGCCGGTCAGTGGGAGCCCTTGGAAGGATCTGAGGTAGATTCAAAGGCGCAGGTGAAAGAGGATTCCTCCCCGTCCAGGCTCAAGCTGAAGCTTCCACCCAAGCGGCGCCTAAGCTCAACCAGCAAGCCACAGGCGTCACAGCGCATGAAAGAGGAAAAGAATGAGGAATTTATACTTGAGTGCAATTCAGAGCCTTTGGCTGCCAACGAAGTCAACATCGACACACTCGAACTGGAGGAAGTGGTGCCCACGGAGGGCGGAAACGACTTCGGGGACATGGTCGATACGGTGCGCACTGAGGATGGAGACATTTACATTATCAACTCGAACAGTTCGGAGGATCAGAAGCCCGGCTCCGCGCCCGAATTCGACCAGGACGACGGCATTACCTCCTACAACAGTGAGTGGGAATCTCTGGCAAAAGTGCTTACATTTAAACTCATTCAACCTTTAACTTAGTCAAGGAAGACGGCGAGATTCAGTTCAGTGGCGAGAAGACGGAGGAAATCGAAGATGTCGTTGTGTTTAACCTGAATGCAGAGATTTCTGAAGAGCAACAGGTCTTTAATTTTGACGAGAACGTCATAATTGTGGTAATTAACTTATTGATTTCATAGTATATTTATTTTAAACGGATGTATCGCCTATTCAGGAAAAGGAGCCGAACAAAGGGGACGAGCAGTTGCCCGCGAAATGCAAGAGATCGAGTGACTTTGTGTTTAAGCAGGTCTCAGATTGCCCTCAACCAAAGGCCGGCAGGGTAACGGACACGGTGAAATCCTTTCAGTGTCATCTGTGCCCGGTGGCCTTTGCCACGCAGAAACTGCTGACGCGCCACCACAATACGCACATCAAAGGCCTTAAAAGCGGCAAGGGCGGCACGCTCAAGTGTCCCAGCTGCTCGCTGCAGCTGTCCTGCGCCAGCTCCCTCAAGCGCCACATGATCATCCACACTGGCTTGAAGCCCTACAAGTGCAGCGAGTGCGATTCGTCCTTCTCGCAGCGCGAAGTGCTCAAGCGGCACATGGACATCCACACGGGAGCCAAGCGCCACCAGTGCCCCCAATGCTCGAGCTGCTTCGCCCAGAAGTCCAATCTGCAGCAGCACATCGGCCGAGTGCACATGGGCAACTCGAGGACACACAAATGCCACCTCTGCCAGCGGAGCTTCAACCATGTTTCGGGCCTGAGCCGCCACCTGGTCACGCACGCCGGCGTCATGTTCTCCTGCAAACAGTGCGGCCGGCAGTTCAACGATCGCAGTGCCGTCCAGCGTCATGTTACGACTATGCACAAGGTCAAGAGCAAGTCCGCGGACTACATATCTGAGCCCGAGATCAGTGAAACCGAGTTCCAGGCTGTGTAGAGCCAGGGTAGAATAGTCACTGACGTTGTGGGAAACCAAGACAATTGCTTCACCTAAAAACATCCACCTTGCTCTGAATATTTTACAACTTTATTCGCGAACGTAAAGTGCTCACAACAGTTGGCACCAAATATCATCAACGTGATAGTGTTAAAACATTTAGAAAACATGCAGCGTTAAACAGTTAGCTAACAAATACAAATCGGAACATTTGGAACAGCTCCGTAACAGGATACCAATATAGCTAGACGTACATTTTACAATATCGTTTAATAAATAGCACATAAGACGATGTACAATATGATAGGCAAATACACGTATTTTTAATAAACTCAACGTCTCTACGAATACTTTAAACTTAAGCTAAACGCCAGAGAACGGTAATCAAAATGCGCTTAAGGGAAAACGAATGGTCATGCCCGCCATTCGAATGAAAAATGCAATGAATAATATTTTCTTGTATAATCGGAAGCGCTTTTCAAATGAGATTGCGATTGCCTAGGGAAACAAGCCCGCACCGACTTCCCTCCTCCGGAAATCGAAACCGTGTAACATGCCTGCTTAAGGCGTTATAAAGCCAATAACAATCCAATATGCACCCTAGCCTACTAATCGGAACAATATCCTTAATAACGACCAAGTTTCTAACTCCTGCGACCCACCATCTGCCGCTGCTAGTCGGAGTTGGTCAGCGAGCTGCGCTGCGATTCCAGGGTGTTTGAGTCGTGTCGCTGGCGCAGCACCCGCGTCTGACTGGCGGGCAACTTGGAGAAGTCCTTCATTACGTTCTTGTACGTCTCATCTTCCCCGTTGTACTCATCGTTGGGTCCAATCTCGTCATTTAGTTGTGTCAATCGGAGTCTGCAAAGGGAAACGAGTGAGTAACTAAGCTAAGCAAGGGGTTCATCCACTTACAGTGTAACTATGTCGGCGTTTTCCTGGTCCACCGCAATGTCCAGCGCCTTCTTGCCGTCACTGGAGGCCAGGTCGTAGGCAGCCTTGTGCTTCAGCAGCAGATAAACCTGGGCGATGTGGCCCTTGGCCGTGGATATGTGCAGGGCACTGTAGCCCAGCTCGTCCACGGCATCAATGGCGGCTCCGTTCAGGAGCAAGAACTCACAGGCCATCACGGAGCCGGAGATCACAGCCTGGTGCAGGAACGATCGCTGCCGGTCCTGGGGATTCTTCCAGACCTTGTCGGCGCCCAGGGCGAAGGCCATGCACATGACCGGCAGATTGTGCACCACCGAGGCCATGTACAGCAGCTGATTGGCGTCCAGTTGCGAGAAGGGCAGCTCCTCCGGGGTCTCCGCGTCCGACTCGCCATCGGTGCTCTCCTGATCACTGCCCAGAATACCCGGAGTCTCCAGTCTGTCTAGGGCCAAGTCATCACCGATCACCAGCAAGTCGTCGCGCGAGATGCTCAGTGACATCGAAGGAATGTTGATGGATTCGTCATCATCGTCGTCGTCCAACTCGTCGCCCGTCTTGGCCGTGTTATAGATGCTCGGATCGTCGCTCAATGTTTTGGGAAGCGGACGCTGTTTTAGCCTTCGCCGCAGCTTCTTCACCGCCCACTTGCGGGTGCCGCCCAGCGAGAGGGTGGCCCGCTTGGCGATTCCACTGACGCCACTTTCTGCGTCCTCCACCACGCCGCCACTGTCTATGCTGAGGACCTCGGCCGTCTCGCTGGCCAGCAGCTCCTGCGGCTTGGGCATGCCGCACACGAACCGCCGTTCCACATATTTGGCCTTTATCCAGGCCTCGCGCACCCCGATCTCGCACTGCTCCGTGGGCTTCTTGAGGGCACAGTCATCGCCGACGCGTGCCTCGTAGATGCGGTTTACCACCTCGTTGCCCAGCTCCATCATCACCTTCACGTTCTCCGTCTCCCAGGCATCCAGCGTTAGGGAACGCACCTTGCTGTAGTGGACGCCCAGGCTGCGATGGACGCCGGAGCACTCGATGCACAACGTGATGCCCAGGTTGATGGAGGCCCAGCGCGGTTCGGGGCTCCTGCAGTCGCAGCAATAGGCGTTGCCCGGTATCTTCAGGAACTCCTCCCAGTGGCTGCGGCATATTGATATCAATACAATATAGTTAGTACAAGGGGAACTTGCAGAATGAATCAAACATACATTCTACGCTTTGCGGGCAGAGCGTTGTTGGGTGTGTTCGTCGATTGTGGTCGCGAGTGATGCGTGGAGTCATGCTGGATGGCTGCACCGATGCTGTGCTGCAGCGCGGAAATCCACAGGGAGAGCATGTCGGCGGAGTCGGCCTGCAGGATGTGAGATCTGAAGGGAAGGGAACTTTATATTTATGGCAAGTCGCACACACACACACACATCAAGTACTCACTTGGTCGGCGAGATGACCTCGAAGCAGAAGCGGCGGTCGCCCTCGTTCACCGGACGCACGCTGCAGATGCGCAGGTCCTCCTCCATGACTGAGAACGAGTCCTCGTTGCTGCGTTTTCTGCAATGCGAATCCAAATCACTTCAGCGTACGGCCACACACATCACATCATCACACACCACACAACAAAAACATCACAAAATCAAAATGTGGCAAACGAAAAGAAGACGATTGATTAACTAAGCAAGCAGATGGGATGGCATTTCGGGGGATGTACAATACAAAAGTAAACAATACAAAATGAGAAGCAGTAGCAGTAGTTAGCGCCTAACAAACGCGCACCCACCTGTAGACGAGCTGGTTGTCGCTGAGGTAGAACCATCGTCGGCACCAGGTCTTGAAGCCCTTCGACTTCTTCTTGAACAGGTAGCCCTCGATCTTGTTGGAGGTGCTGTTGGTGTTCGAGTCGCAGTAGCGATTCACGCTCATGTGGCGGTTCTGCATGGCCTTCTCCAGCTGCTGGTAATCGCCGCGCAGCGCGTTCAAATCCTCGCTGATGTTCTTGAAGAACTCGTCGAAGTCGTTGCACAGGTCGAAGCCCTGGTGGTAGTAGGTCACGCACGCCTGATAGTAATCCAACAGCTGCCAAAAAAAGAGCAGAGGAGACCAGCATGAAAACGTGCTTTCGCCCAAGTAAAGCAGCTATTGTTCTCGTTTTCCACCGCACCGCAACGACGGCAACAGCGACAGCGTCAGCGACAATCCAGCTCCGAGCTCTCCTGATAGACAACTGAGACGCATTGGCCAGCGCACAACTGACTCAACATGCTGATCAATGGTTTTAGATATAAAACGCACACAAATGCACATTGATATCACAACGGTGACGTCATAAGCATAATAAACCCCAGCAACTTATTTGATTAGTGGTCGCGGGCCACTTCATTCATGGCACTCGGGGCAGATAAGCGGTATCTGGCGGCACCTTGGCACCCGCCCTTTCCTTACCGTGGACAGTATGGAGGGGACCTTGCGAGCCTGCGCCAGAGTTATGTAGTTGACATAGTCCAGGGCGGTGTGTTGGAAGCACGACTTGGAGGCGGAAAGGATATTGGCAGCCTCCTGCATCTCCTGCGGTCGGTTTTTACTAGCCTGTAAAAAGAGCAATGTAACTCTTAGCTCCAGTAATCGTATATTCTCGACCAGTAGCCCCAACCCACCTGTGCGTTTTTGATCAACGCATTGTCATAGCCCTCGGAAACCTTGAGAAAATGTCCCTTGTAGTCCTTCACCTGGTTGATGTCGTCTTTGACAAACACACTGAGGTTTTTCAGCACCGTGCGACTAGCCTGATCCAACAGAATAGTGTGGAACTTGTTCATCTCCTGCAAGACAATCGGAATTTATAGTTTATACAAAGCATAAGAAAGCTAACAGGAAGGAGCCAAACCTGAAAGCAGTGAATCAGCTTGCCGAGCGCATTGTGCGCGTTCTTGTTGTCGAGAAAGTGCTGCTGCAGATCCCACAAGGACATGGCAAAGGCGCTATGGAGATACACAAGAATTCGGAGAATCGATGCCCATAAATATGCATGAGGATGGAAAATGGCGCAGTGAGTTGTTTACCTCTGGTTCTTGACATACTCCTTGCCCGAGTCCACGGCCACATTGCACAGCTTGATGATTTTCTCCAGACGCCGCTCCAAGTGCTCAATGTCGCTCTCCTCCTTGGACACAAATTGTCTGGCGAAAGGCAAATTGAAAACGTTAGCACAATCTTGTCGAGATGTAAACAAAAGATGGGCATCGGCATGGGTAAACTGGCGATTAAAATGGTCTCTGACTGACTGGCTGGCTGGCTGAACAGGGTAAATATAATCATCCAGTTTAATCAAAGAAGTTATCGCGCGGGGGGCAGCAAATGGGCAAAGGGTATGGGGCCGACACTCTGCCTCTGTTTATGTTGACACTTTTAATTTATGCGGACTTATTAAAGCGCTGTTTGCGCTTCCAATTGGAGACGACTCGCCACAAAATAGAGCCCGTCCGGGGACAAGTTTTTGTATCGTCGGGTCTTTCTCGCCTCTTCCCCCCTGTGCCATCCATCGATTTCTCGCGCATTGCTTTTGTCTTAACTTTGTACTCATTCTCTTAACGTACTCTATCGGAGGGTATTGTTATTCTTGTAACTTTGTATTCCTTAACTTTGTATTCATTGCACTTTTTCGAAGGGTGTTATAATTTGGACCAGCAGTTTGCACTTGATATCTGCGAAACCTTATACTATAGTTACTCTGGATCAGTTTTTTGAACAGTAATAAGCAGATAATAAGCCATGACCTTCAGTAATTCAAAAGCTATTTCTTGTTAAAGTTGCCATAGAGACGATTGAGTCAAAGGAGCATTATGCCATTTTTTCTGATAATAATTATTATAAACTCAGCAGTTTATCGACTATATATTGTTATATTATATATATTACTGTTCTAGGAATTGTTACTGTTTCTAGAAAACCTAACGAATGTATTACAAAGCTTAAACCTATTATACAAAAGATTTAAAAACTTTGAAATTTATGATGATGCTATCAGAAAGATCTCCCTAGTTCATAATATTCTTAGTGTATAAAGTTGTGGGCTGCCAAAGCCGCGATGATCGAAAAATAGTACTTCAGCAAGGGTATTCTAAGCTTCAGACCCCGAAGATAACCTTTATTTCCGGTTTCCTGCAAACACAATCTACTGCAGGTGCTTAAAGAAGTGGGGATTTGACTGCTCTTAAACGAGTTATAGCCGCTTTTGAGCACCATTCACGGGGGAAAGCTTTGTCTTTGGGCGCGATTAGTGGAGACAATTGGGCATTTCGGGTGAAATCTTATCAATCAGCAGCAAACATGGAGACGATATAGACGAGAGCATCGACAATTAGCTGGGAAAAGGGGGGGGGAGGCTCATTTGAACATTCCGCAGTGCTG